AAGAGTTTGATGTAATAAGTGCATCATAGAGAGTTAGGATAGTCTCTCTTTTTCCAACCAAGGCAAGGAGGTTGGGCAATAGGGCAGACAGCTTCCTCGTTGGTAGGTAATAAAAGGATTCTGATTTACCAGAGTGTGGGATCCGCAAGTACCAGAGTAGCCAGGGAACTTCTGGAGTGAATTTGAATATCCCGGTGAAGGGGCATCATTTAGAGAGGATGGAGAGAAGAGAAAGGTGCTGCAGCCTAGGGAACCCAGTGAACAGAAATGCAGAAGCAATAGCACCTAGGTTCAGTCAGAAGCCTTTGAGGTGACCCCTAAGTGGGGAGGTATAGACATCCATAGAAATGGATTACACCAGGGGTGAAGGGCTTTGCACATTAACATGGACTTGGGTATGGTTTTTGTGCATGACGAAGGGGTTTCTGCTTTGTGTGTAGGCATAGGCTATAGAAGGGCCTAGAAATTGCCCTCTCTGGAGCGTATCCTTACCCCAGTGCAGGTTATGCATTTAATGGCCTGGTTATGCATTTAATCGCCTACATGATCTTGGGCGGGTATGTATCCCTGCTGACCCCCGTGTCTGTAAAATGGGGCATATCCTACCTATGTCATGTGCTTACTGTGGATGATATAAAATAGTGTTTGCAAAGTACCGAACACACGGTAGACTCTCAGTTTTTATTGTATTGTTCCTGCCCTCAGCTTGCCTTACTCCTGGTATTGCTCCTGTGTGTCTCTGTATTAAAGATCATGGAGGAATACAGGTATATTTCTTTTTCTGAGAGACTTTGTCTTAATTCTGAGATTCTGTCCTCAGCTGTTTTACTGTCTCGTCTCCTAACCATGAGTTACGTGTCCAAACAGCAGTCTTTACAAGCCCTCGGGTGGGATAGTAAGAGCAGCTCATCACTCTTTGTGACTCTGTTTCTGTACCTCCAAGTCTGTGTGGCATCTTCCCCCACGGGGAGCCATTTCTAGTTTGTCTTTAATTGCTCCTCGCCGAGGCGACTTGTCAGCCAAAGCTGCTTTCTGTCACTTGATGCCACATCTCTTCCTAGTTCAGCCAGCCATTTGGGGACATTCATTTAGTTGACAGTCTGCTTTTACAGAGAACATTGTACTAGATACTAATTTGCCTTGTAAGGGGATCCAGCAGGGTTTCCTGCCCCCCTGCTGACCCAGGGTGCCAGTACCCTTCTGCGTGCCTGTGGCTGTGGTTCTGCACAGAGCAGGTGGGGAAGGTAAAGATATTAACAATGGAGGGTCCCAGTTCAGCATCACTGGTCTACAAGTCCCTTGTCCTCCTGTCCTTTTCCTCTTGGTAGAAAAACCTTCACTGAACCTCAGTTCAGAACCCTGTCCATTTCCAACAGAACCCCCACGCCATGGGAGACGAAGATATACTTTTATTTCTTCCTAGGTTTGTATGCCAGAATTGTCTGTGTCCTACTATGTCTGTGTCCGACCATTTCATCTTGACAACAGCCCTGTGGGGTGGGAAAGACGGACCGTTTGTAGAACAGATATTGAGGCTCTTACCTTTGGAATAAATAAAATGGGACTCAGAAAGGTTATTCAGCTGTCAGTGAGAGTGGTGTTGACTTTTTATTCATGACAGTGAAAACTCCATATAAATAGACAGGTAATTTCACGGCTGTGGAGTAGATAGAGCACTCACCTTCAAAGAGCCTTTGAGAGAAGTCTGGTTATCTCTGTCTGGCCAGTTTATGGCCCTTGATTCTCTTACCTATCTCTTCAGCAATCTTCATTCTGGCTATTCACCTTCTTTCCCAGTCTCAGTTAGGTATCCTTCTCACAGAAGAGTTTCTCTTCACTGCTCTTGTATCCTGTTAAAGGCTTTTTTTTTTTTCTTTTTATTCTGTCTCCAGCCTCCTGTAGGAATGCCTGATCTCTCTATTTATAGTTCCATGGAGCCAAGCCTCCTTCTGTCCCTTTGGGAGGACCTATTGTTATACATTAATAATTAACCTTTACAAGGAACACTAGTGATAGGCATTTAACCCAAATGCAGAAAAAGCCCAAGTTTGTTTATGTCAAAGAGATCTCACATGCTGAGTTATAATAGTGAGGGTTAGAAAGGAGAAGCTGACAGTCATTAAACTTTGATTATTTTTTTCTGGTTTACTCACTTGAGTGATTGGCGGAGGATCCTGCACTATTTCCCTTTGCACATGGTCAGCCCAGTTTCACTAAAATGAAAAATCAGCTTTTGAATTGTGAAGTTGAGCATGCATGACTTTCTATGTAATATTAAAGATAAACCTCACAGGGGGTCTACTTCTGAGCATGTGGGCCCTGGGGCCCAAATGCTTAGGTTTAAGTCCTGCTCTATCACTTATCAGCTGTGCACCTTTGGGCTGGTTCCCTAACTACTCTCTGTGTTCTGTTTCTGCATCTGTAAAATAAGGGAAGGATTACAGGTATCTCAAATGGGTGTGGTCTGGATCTAACGGGATGGAGAGGTGTTAAATCCTTAGCATGGTGCCTGGTAGTAGATGCTTAAGAAATGTTAGTATCATTATTTTCAATGTTATTGACTATGGTTAGGTCCATGGTCAAGGCTGCATAATAGATGAGTCATTTTCAATGCTTTGCCATAGTTATATGTCACTCTTGTAATGCCCGTTAGAATGCAAACAGCTCTGCCTGATTCTCTCTGGGTGACGGGAGAGAGATGGGAACTAGTTCTACACTTGGACGTGAGGGGGATTATATGATATGTTCTGGAATGAGCCGTCCAATTGCCTTGGTCTCACAGAGATGGACAGATGAGACTTATTTTAGCAATTAAGTATTGTTTTGGAGATGATAATACAAACTTTTCAGAAAAGAACAAAATGAGATTAACAGTAACTCTCAGAATAGCTGAGATTTTTGTGCCCTTATGTTTTTCCATTTCAAGTGCTTCACATGTTTTAAATCATTTTATTATTACAAAATAGTTTGTTCCTATATTCCCAATTTCAGGAGGTGAAACAGACCCAGAAAAGTTACTTTGCCAAAGTCACAGAGCTTGTAAGTAGTAGATGTGGAATGCAAACCTAAATCTAGGTCCTGGCTGGAATTTGAATAAGGTAATATAAAGAAAATAGCAAAGTGGTTGGCATGCTCAATACTCAGATCCTTGTCAATTTCCCTTCCATTGTTTTCTGTTTATTAATTTTTAATGGATGTGACATTGGTCAGAGATCAGAGCACTGAGAACCATCCCAGGGAACTATATCAAATTTCAGTTCAAATAAGAGTAAAAATTTTTTGAAATTGTAATTTCAGGGAGAAAGATTATTTTCTGCTTTTATATGAATTATACCTGGTTTAGAAGGTCATAACTGATTTTTCCCATAGGTTATTGGGATACAGGTGGTATTTGGTTACATGAGTAAGTTCTTCAGTGGTTATTTGTGAGATTTTGGTGCACCCAACACCCGAACAGTATATTCTGCACCCTATTTGTAGTCTTATCCCTCGCCCTCCTCCCATCCATCCCCCCAAGTCCCCAAAGCGCATTGTATCATTCTCATGCCTTTGTGTCTATATAGCTTAGCTCCCACATATCAGTGAGAACATATGATGTTTGGTTTTTCATTCCTGAGTTAACTCACTTAGAATAATAGTCTCCAGTCTCATCCAGGTCACTGCGAATGTCATTAATTCATTCCATTTTATGGCTGAGTAGTATTCCATTATATATATATATATATATCTCACAGTTTCTTTATCCACTTGTTCATTGACGGGCTTTTGGGTTGGTTCCACAATTGCGAATTGTGCTGCTATAAACATGTGTGTGCAAGTATCTTTTTCATATGACTTATTTTCCTCTGGGTAGATACCCAGTAGTGGGATTGCTGGATGAAATTGTAGTTCTAATTTTAGTTCTTTAAGGAATCTCCACACTGTTTTCTATAGCAGCTGTTAGAAAGTCATAACTTTTTTTGGCATCCTCACCTTCTCCACCCACCTACCCATTCTGCAGAACGATGACCACAGCTTTGTAGAAGTGTACACTAACCTTCGGTAGGGCATGGAGACAGGAAGCATTGCTGGACCCCCTTATGAGGTGAATTAGTATCTGATTCAGTGTTCTCTGTAAAATCAGGCTCACAACTAAATCAATAACCCTGACCGAACCAGGGCTTCAGGGTTTCTCATTCTACCACTAAACAGAGGGCACATGCAATGTGCAGAAAACAAAAACGCAACTGGACCTCTGTCTCCATCAGCTCTTAACACTTAATCTTTTGTTTAAAGCAATACATCCACGTGGTTGAGAAAAAAAGTCCAACACTACCAGAGGGCACAGTGAAAAGTAAGTCACCCTCCCCCTCTAGAATATTAATCCCACAAATATACTCCCCAATGACAATTTTATAGTTCCAAAGAGACTTGATGCTTACAGGAGCATATGTAAATATAATGTCCCCACACCTCAACACTTTCACACAATGATAGCATAATGCACCCTCTCTCCTGTTCCTTGACAACTTCACTTAATGTGACTTGGAGAGCTTCCACATTAAAACCAAAAGCAATACCTTGTTTTCAAGGGCTGCCTAATATTCCATCTCATAAAGCTGTGCCATCTGCTATTGATGGTCATTTAGGTTGTTTCTGGTCTTTTACTAACTAAGATTGTTTCAGTAAATCACTTTGTATGAAGTATATGACTCCAAGCAACTCAATCTCTCTTGATTTTTATTTGCAAGCTCATGTTGTATAACTTTCTGACAACACAAGAAATTGGCCAGGAGACAAAATAAATTCCATGGAAATACAGAGGCTTTTTTTAGAGCTTGTGTGCACATCAGATGTTTCTACAGATACTTTCTGATTCCTGTGTCTCATTGTTTCTCATGTTGTTTTGGACTATGTCCTGAAAGCTCTTCTTGGGTCATTTTTCCAGGTGCCCAGTGAGTGATGGATGGATACTGTTTGCAAGATTGATTCATATGGCATTTTTGTTTGGCTTTTGACAGGTTGTTTATAAGAATAATGACATCCGTCTGGAGCTGTCTCGCCTGGCACGGATTGGGGACACCAAGATGAAAATCTATGGTGAAGTTGTGTTCAAGTGTGAGAATGTGGCCACACTGGACCCCATCAACTTCGAGACCCCAGAGGCTTACATCAGCTTGCCCAAGTGGAACACTAAACGTATGGGCTCCATCTCCTTTGACTTCCGTACCACTGAGCCCAATGGCCTGATCCTCTTCACCCATGGAAAGCCCCAAGAGAGGAAGGATGCTCGGAGCCAAAAAAACACAAAAGTAGACTTCTTTGCTGTGGAACTCCTCGATGGCAACCTGTATTTGCTGCTTGACATGGGCTCTGGCACCATCAAAGTGAAAGCCACTCAGAAGAAAGCCAATGATGGGGAATGGTACCATGTGGATATTCAGCGAGATGGCAGATCAGGTAGGAAGAGGCAGGATGTGTGACTGGGACTCAGGAAAGCTGTAGCTCCTCGGTTTGTTTGTTGCCTTTATTTTCTAAAAACTTTGGCCCTTGCATGCTTTTTGATGCTTTGGCTGTTCTCTTTAATGGCTGTTGTAAAATTATGTTTCTGAAAAGATACCTGCCTCATAGATGGCTCATATTCTCCACTCATCTCTTGTATCGCTCACCACACAATTGTCAGTGATCGCTCTACCGTCCTGGAGCTAAGGACAGTTTTACAAGTAGCATTCCTACTGCTACCAAAGAGACTGTCATGTCGCTGGTGTGATCCACCCCATCCCCCATTCTTTGCTTCTTCTTTTCCTCATCACCAAAAAAACCAATTGTGACATCACAGATGCTGCTTTATGTGATTATTCTGTTGGATAAACTTCACTGTGCAAGAGTTTATGCAACAATACACCCTTCAATAATTGGCAAGAGTCAGGTTGCAGGGAGAAATTATGACAAGAAAGGAAAAGGCAAATTGATTTTTCCTGAAGACACATTCAATTAAAAGCCTTCCTTTGGTGTAAAAGCCTGTATTTCACTCTTTGTTCAGACCTCACTAATTCTCCCTTCCTCTTCATAACCTTTTGCATTTGGTTTAAATGGCTTTGTTTCTACAGCTGCAGATCACACAAGCTAGCCCCAGGCAGTACATAGCCACTCTGGAACAGCAACAGAGTGGGGGTGGGGCTGGAGCACAAATAGTCAGGGGTTTTTGAATGCCTGGACGGTCTGCCTCGCTTTCTATGGACGATGTGTCAATGAAGATCACATTCTGTGCTATCAGAAAGGGCATTTTCCCAAGAGCAGTAATTAGAGTATTAGAGTCTTAGACTCATTTCCTGATTCTCCATTTAGGTAGAATATACTCAAGGAGGGTCTCAGCTTCCTGTGCCATATTATGGAGATTCACTTTCTTGATGAACATTAAAAACTCTTTATTTGGATATTTTCTTTCTAGGTTCTTTTGGCCAGTAAGAGAGAGCAGTAAGTTCCCCAAAAGGCTGAAGCTGGGAATGACTGAGCTTTGGTGGGATGATTTTCCTGCGTAATTCCAAAGCTAGACTGATGGCAGAGACAGCAACATTGCCCTTAGGAAGAGCTGGGTGGGTTCTTTGCAGAGGGCAGACGGGTGGCAGATTGCAGCCCTGGATATTTTATTGCCCAGTAGGAATCTTTATTGGTTGTCTGAAATCTGATCGGAACCAAGAGGCTTCGAATTAAATGTGCTCGTTGAGCAAGAATGAATAGTGTGTGCCTTTTTTTTTTTTTTTTTTTTGAGACGGAGTTTCACTCTTGTTTTACCCAGGCTGGAGTGCAATGGCACGATCTCAGCTCACCTCAACCTCTGCCTCCTGGGTTCAGGCAATTCTCCTGCCTCAGCCTCCGGAGTAGCTGTGATTACAGGCACGCACCACCATGCCCAGCTAATTTTTTGTATTTTTAGTAGAGATGGGGTTTCACCATGTTGACCCGGATGGTCTCCATCTCTTGATCTCGTGATCCACCCACCTCGGCCTCCCAATAGTGTGTGCATTTTTAAACAGAAAAACACCCCAAAATTAATTTCTTTGGAGGCTAAATCCACCCCCCCTTTTTTTCTTCTTTTCATTCTCTTTCTCTGTTTTTTCAGTAAAGTGTCAGCAAGGGCAGAGTCAGAAAGCTCTTCCAAAATTATAAGGAAACACTGCTGGTTTTTAAGATCATGTGTTTGGGATCTCTGAGGTTAGGTCATGCTGGACGGGTTTTGTGTCTGACTAACCTAGACCTTGGCACAATGTAAAGGTTACCTACCTATGTCCACACGTAGGGTAGAATGCATAGAATTGCTATATGTTTTCTGTCTGTTCCCAGTGCAAATTGTTTTTTCAAGTAGAGGAACAATTTTTGCTGTTAGAACTACCAGTGGACCCATCTTCAGCAAACATGTTTAGATTTCAGAAGCTTAAATTTCATATCTGGGAGCTAAAGCATTGGCCAATTTTTTTTTTTCAGTTTTTTTTTTTTTTTGAGACAGAGTTTCACTCTTGCTGCCCAAGCTGCAGTACAGTGGCATAGTCTCGAGTCACTGCATCCTCTATCTTCTGGGTTCAAGTGATTTTCCTGCCTCACCTCCAAAGTAGCTGGGATTACAGGCACCCACCACCATACCTGGCTAATGTTTGAGTCAGAGACGGGGTTTCACCACGTTGGCCAGGCTGGTCTTGAACTCGACCTCAGGTGATCTGCCTGCCTCAGCCTTCCAAAGTGCTGGGATTACAGGCAGGAGGCACTGTGCCGGCCGATTTTTTAACTGCTGATGAATTTGATCAAATGCTATAAAAATTTACCGAGTAAACACACAATTGTCCCATGAAAGCAGTATAATATGAAATTATAATCAATCTGTTAAACTTTCATTTTTTTCATGAGAATGTTTTCTGGTACCTTGTTTTTGGTTATAAATCTGTACTCAAATGGATAGTTCTAAAAACAAGTGGATCTAAATGTGATGCCTCCTTCCCTGATCATCTTGAAGAATAACATGACTGGCAGTGATCTAGAAAATTTTATAATCAATCCCCACTTCTGGCAAGTGAGTCTTAAAACTTTTTTAAGTGCTTTCAAAACACTGAGGACAGATTTTCCTCAGGTTGTATTTAAGGCTCTAAAATTTAAATCAACTCTACTACTATCCTTACTTGACAATAGATATCTCCCCCCTCATTTAATTGGTGATCAGATTAGCCCAGTGGACAGGTGAGGGGTAAAGAAAGAAAACTGCAATAGAGAAAATAGTAAGAGATGCAGACCTCAATTTCCTTGTTTGCAAAATAGAGGAAATAATAACTCCTCTCTCCCAAGACTGTTTTGAGGATCAAGTCCAAAAATGCATATAAAATAGTTAAAGTGGTGGCCAGGACATTATTGTTGTTTCGTGTTTGAAAGATTTAAAAACAAAAAGGCAAAGCCTATTTCTCTAGGAGAAAACTTCTAGAAGAGAGTAGGAAAGGAGATTGTTCAATTCCCCTTAATATCCTTTCTATGCTTCTACTCTTGTGTTGACTTTGCATTTTATTTTTATTTTAATCAATTAATTATATTTTTTTGAGAGCAAGTCTTGCTCTGCCACCCAGGCTGGAATGCAGTGGCATGATCTCGGCTCTCTGCAACCTCTGCCTCCCAGGTCCAAGGAGTTCAGCTGCCTTAGCCTCCCGAGTAGTGGGTGGCATCCACCACCACACTTTGATAATTTTTGTATTTTTTGTCGAGACAGGGTTTCACCATATTGGCCAGGCTGGTTGTGAATGCCTGACCTCAAGTGATCGGCCTGCCCCGGCCTTCCAAACTGCTGGGATTCCAGGTGTGAGCCATTGTGCCCAGCTGACTTTGCATTTTAAAGTGTATGTTTCATTTTTAATCTCATTTGATCTTTGCAGCCCTTCAAGTTATATACCCTTCATAGCTAAAGGAACTGAGAATCAGACAGAGGTGAAGACTGGGTGATGGATGGCATGACCCAGTTATCGTGATACCAATAAAGCATGTCAAGAATATCAGCTGGGTGTGGAGGCAAACGCCTGTATTCCCAGCTACTCAGGAGGCTGAGGCAGGAGAATCACTTGAACCTGTGAGGCGGAGGGTGCAATGAGCTGAGATTATGCCACTGCACTCCAGCCTGGCAACAGAGTGAGACTATATCTAAAAAAAAAAAGAGAATAGAATAATAAATGCCTGTTTTAAAATTTCTGACAGGATGTTTAGATATTACCTAGTCCATTTTCTTAAGTTTTCAGTTCAGGAAATTGAGCCATTAAGTGATTCAGGGATTTAGGGACTGACCTAGGGTCAGAAAGGCATTTAGAACTAGAATCCCTGTTCTCAAGGTCTCAGGTCAGCTTGTGGAGTTCCATCTTCTACAGTCTCATTTGATGCTGTCCAAAATCCAACCCCTTCCTGGGTCTGCTTATCTCTCTGACTTGATCTGCTCACCCACTCTTACCTTCTCTATTCTAGCCATGCTTCTTCCTGCCTCAGGGCCTTTGCAGGTGCCATTCACTCTGCCTGGCATGCCCTCTCTCTTGGACTTTGCATGGCTGCATCCTTCCCAACATTCCAACTTCAGCTCAACTGTTACCTGCCTAGAGAGACCTTCAGTGACTCTACACTTTAAAGTAGAACACATGAGTAATTAGCACACCACCCCTTTTACTCTCTTCATAGCACCTGCCATTAGCTGATTCATTTTGTTATTGGGTTGCCTGTTGTATTAGTCCATTCTCGCGCTGCTAATAAAGACATACCCAAGACTGTATAATTTATAAAGGAAAGACGTTTAATTGACTCACAGTTCAGCATGGCTGGGGAAGCCTCAGGACACTTACAATCATAATGGAAGGGGAAGCAAACATGTCCTTCTTCACATGGCAGCAGGAGAGAGAAATGCAGTGCCAGCCAGAGAAATGCCAGATAAAACCATCAGATCTTGTGAGAACTCACTCACTGTTATGAGAACAGCATGGAGGTAACTGCCCCCATAATTCAATTCGCTTCCCACTAGGTCTGTCTCACAACATGTGGGATTATGGGAACTATAATTCAAGATGATATTTGGGTGGGGACACAGCCAAATAATAGCATTTATTTTCTGTCCCTCTGCACTGGAATATCCCCTCAATGAGAGGAGAGGCATGCCTATCAACTCATCTCTGCCTAGAACTATACCAGAGACAGAATAGGTCTTCCATACACATTTATTAAATGATTAAATAAGGAATCATGTTTCCGTTAAAATTTATCACAGGGAATGCTCAAAATATTCACTGGCAGGGCTGGTACTGAATGCCAAATATAGAGAGTACCAGTGCATGGAGGGAGAGACAGAAGAGGAAAGCTCCATCTTTTTGGGTTGGTGAACCCTTGAAGAAGACTCAGGCAAACGTATGGAGGCCTTATTCTGTCTCAGGCACTCTTAAAAGCACTTTTGTATATATTCACTCATTTAATCACACCAACCTGTGAGGTAGTGACAGTTATTTTCCCATTTTACAGATGAGGAAATTGAGGCACAGGAAAGGTGAAGTCACTTCTTTAAGGTTATACAGCTCATTCATATTAGAGCTGGAATTTAAATACAGGCAGGAAGTGTGCCGCTGTCAGCCTGTGTGGTCTCAGCCAACAGGGTTAGGTGGAGAAAGCATACACTAGATGTTAGGTCGCTGAGATTTTCCTGGGTCTTCCTAAGGGCTAGGTGGACTTAGCTGGCAGAGATTGGAACCAGGTGGTCTACATTGTCTTTCCTATTGTCCCATAACATCGAATTCTCTTCCTTGAATTCTTTTCTCCTGGCCAGGCAATGGCTGGTCTCAGCACTTACCTGGTGGGCTTCTTTCATTTGGTTTAGCAACCGACGGACTCACCTGAGATACCAGGAGAGCTTCCTAACTCTGATCTGTCTTCCCACCCCAGGTACTATATCAGTGAACAGCAGGCGCACGCCATTCACCGCCAGTGGGGAGAGCGAGATCCTGGACCTGGAAGGAGACATGTACCTGGGAGGGCTGCCAGAGAACCGTGCTGGCCTTATTCTCCCCACCGAGCTGTGGACTGCCATGCTCAACTACGGCTACGTGGGCTGCATCCGCGACCTGTTCATTGACGGGCGCAGCAAGAACATTCGACAGCTGGCAGAGATGCAGAATGCTGCGGGTGTCAAGTCCTCCTGTTCACGGATGAGCGCCAAGCAGTGTGACAGCTACCCCTGCAAGAACAACGCTGTGTGCAAGGACGGCTGGAACCGCTTCATCTGCGACTGTACTGGCACGGGATACTGGGGAAGAACCTGCGAAAGGGGTGAGTCAGTCTAGAGGGTGGGAAGTGAGGGCCTGAGTGGGGCTGATGTGTTACAGTTGGATCCCTGGACAGCCCGAAGCTTTGCACCTACCTGCACTTTCTTTCTTCCAAGAGTTTTTGGGTTTACTGATTAACCGAATGCACCCTTTCTACTTCTGAATGCTTGGATTCCTTTGACTAAGATTGGGGTGCAGAAAGGGAAGCTTTACAATAAATATTACCATGATTATGATACTTTTTGATTAAATACTTTCTATTAAGACAGGGTAAGTAATTCTCTTTTGGGACTCCAGGGAGTCTAGCCAACTGGCTGTTTTATTCATTTATTTGACTTGTACTTCTTTAGTGCTTTTTACAAGCTAACGCATGGCTTAGGCTTTAGAAATACAATGTTGAACAAGACAGATTCATCTCTGTTTTTATGGAGCTTGCTGCCTAGTGGAATATTTAGCCATTAAATAGCTGATTACAAACATGGTGGGTTTTATAAGAGGCAGAGTGATGTATTGGTTAAGAGCATGAACTCTGGGTGAGAAATCTGGCCCTCATGCAGTGATGTGAATTTCATCATGGTAGTCAATATTTTTGAGACTTGATTTCCTCGTTTGTAAAATAGAGATAATCAGGCACCTACCTTACAAGATACTGATGATGATTAAATAAGTTAATAGGTTCCTGAGCATTTAATATTAATGATTATTATGGTCATAATTATTGTCATCAACATCATTAAAGAAAAGGTATAGAGAATCTTGGGAGGCCCTTGCAAGGAGACCAACGTACTCTACAGGTTCACTGTATAGTAAGCAACCCTGACAAGGTTGAGGACCTGAACAGAGTCCAGAATGGATTGGATGCTTTGTTATTTTCTGAAAACTGTCCAGAATGGAATTGGGGAAGTGTGGGAGTGGGAGGAAGGGCATGAAAGGGGACCGAAGAGATGAGGGCTGACCCTATAGATGAAGCCAGAATGCTGGAAGGATTCCCTTTTCATTCACCACTTCAGTATCTGACATTTGCACCCAATTTACAGTTTGGGCAAAGGGCAGAGATAAAGGCAAGAAGAGGGACAACATCAACACAAGGAGGTTCCAGGCAAGTGATTTGGAGATTGCAGCTTGGTCTATTTATTTTTATATGCCAAGCACACAGAATCAAGCTGACTATCCGTGGGCTGTCAGCTTCTATATTCTTTGAAAGGATAATTCACATCAAGACCAAGTTTTTGTGAAGGGTATAGCTCTAGGGCTTTGGGAATACCATACCTGTATAGATAAAGTTCTTGCCTTCAAGAAGTTTATCATTTATTTAGTTGAGGAGTTGAGACAGCTATAGAATAAGCTGTAATAAGATATCACAAGACAGTAGCATGTTAGTGGACAGAGAAGAAGGACATGGAGATTCAGAGAAGGGAAGAATGTTTTGAGGACAGACCTACCGGATCTCATCTCTACAGACCAGTGGTCAGTGGCCAGAAATTGTCCAAGTATCAGAAGACAGGTGATATGTGGACAGATCCTGGACGAGGCCTGGAACAAGGGCTGGATGACCAGTGAGAAGGTGTTTTAAAAGGCATGGTTTTTGTGTAGCCAACTGTGTTACTCACTAAGGTGTATTTCAAGAGAACTAAAAACCCTTCTTGCAGTCAGATCAGAGATAGAACACAGGACATGAGGACAAAGGAGAAAAAGAGAGCTTTCTTGGAGCTTATGGAATTAAAATTCACTGAATTTTCAAGGCAGCAACTGCCAGAACAGGAGCTATGATAAGAAAATAGGCCACAATGCGCTGGTCAGTCTGTCAAGTGCCTGGGCTTTTTCCAAATATCTCTGTAGGGTAACCTACCCTGGTCCTGGTTTGGGAAGATAGAAAGGTCATTTCATCTCTGCGATGCATGAGACAGTTTTGGTGTTTGCCAACGTGTTGCAGATCTTCCGTTATCTATGAAGGCAGTATAAAGGCCAGCTCACTTCTTCTTCTTGGGTTTCTTCTTAACTCAAGGGCCCTGTGGTTGTTGGAGTCAGGACACAGTGACTGTAGCCAGCTATACAAGGTGTCTCTGAGCTCAGCCATTTCAAGGGTGAATCAATGGGAGCTGTTCCAAAGTTTGCCAAGAACAGTGAAAGTCACCGCACCTTTTACATTGTCACTTCTGACTAGTCATTAAAAGGCAGCTGATTGGGGATATATGAGGGACAATTATTCTTGGTGCAGTGCAGCCAAGAGTCATCCATTCTGGCCAAACAAGAAGCAGCTTAGCAAACTTAGGACATTTGATCTATACATCGCTCAAATCCCAGACAGTTCAACTAATTGTTTTGTTCCCCTACTAATTGTGTTTTGCCCCTGGATTGTTCCTGACACCATGTTCAGGATGAATCAGTGGAGTATAAAAATTACAGGACTCTTCTCTGCTAGAAAAGAAAAAGTTGAGATTCCCAATGACATTGTTTTTCTTTATTGAAATTGATTCCTTAGTGGAGACTCTTTTGTGTATCTTTTGTTCATTTGTCCTACAGGAAATTGACATGTATGGAAGCCCTAGTGTGTTCCAGGCACTGTGTTAGAGGTTGGAAATGCAACAGACAAACAAACCAACCAAAACACAAACATCAACTCGACACAGCATTTACTTTTGAACAAGGGGTGTATAGTCGTCCCAGAGAAACAAAGGGAAATGTGAGAAATGTTTAACGTGGTTGATGTTATGGCAGATGTCTATAGGGAAACGGTAGGACAAATGGGCAAGAATGGCCGCTTCTATATGGCAGGAGTGACGGTCCAGAGAGGGGGATCCAAGGTTTCTTGGATTTGGGGGCTCCTACTTCTTACTCTAGGCATCCACTCTAGGCACTTCTGAAGAAGGGTGAAGAAAACGTGTTTGGCATTGCCTCTATACAGGAGTGGGATCCTTTTTGGATTAAGGAGTCCTGCTCCATTCACCATTACAACACCAACACAGTCACACGGTTTGCCATTCTCTCTCTAATTTTTATTATCTAGAAACATTCTAGAATCAATCCTAAACCTAGAATGGATAATTTGTACCGAATGTGTTAAGCCTAAGACAATTCTTAAGGCCGTGTGTCCCAGTAGCTCGAACTGTATCCTCTACTGGAACTTCCTTGGGAGTGAGTCCCTTGGCATCACTGGCCCCACACATGAATGGGAGTGTTAGAAAGAAGTACTTGTGTATATACAATGAAGAAAGCATAGATGGAATGCTGAAACTGGAGTTTTCATGGCCCAGGTCAGACACTAGCCCAATGACCCAAGCAAAGTGAGCAACAGATAAGTCTAAGAGACAATTCCTAGATCAAAGTCAACAGCCAAAGATAAGAGAATTAGATAATAAGGACTGGGAAGTAGAAAGTATTTGTGTATATGAGACTAAGATTAATTTGCATGGGTATCAGTATTTTTCTCGGAAAGTAAAATTGGGTAACTCCTACTTCTGTCCTCATAAGAATGCTTCTTCTGCCTGTGAAGATGAGCTACTTTAAATCTTGAAATCTAAAATTGGCTTGATATTGTATTTAGATTTTTTTCAGCATAATCTGCTGGTATTCTAAGGTGTAGCTGTCTCTACCCATCCCAACCATTCAGCTCTAGTTATTTTGGTTGGCTCTTCATAGTAATGTGTAAGACATCCGCATAACCTAAAAAGCAAAGGCCTGTTTTAGCTACTTAATTCTAATCGGATAGGTTGAAATTCTTAAAATACTGCAAGACCACCTGCCATCCTGTGGAGTCCTGTTGGACAGAGGAAACAGTCTACCTGGTCTTCAGCTTGTCCTGGAATTAGTCCTTCATAAGGAACTATAATCAATTGACCTGGGACAACATCTTACCCTTGCTAGTACAGCCAAATTGTTTAGTTCAGTTGCTGAGCGTCAAGTTCCAGTAAGGCAAAGCCAACGATTTGATTTATTTGTGGAACATGGAGCTTAAATTTTAGGCCATTGCTGTTTCTCTTCTCTTCCCTGAATGGCTTTTTGTAAACATATGCTGGCATTTATTTGGCAGGAAAGTAAATAAAGCTCAGCTCAAGTTCATCCCAGTGTCAAGAAAAATAACCTACAGTACAACATTTATCTGACATACGCAGCAGCTGAATATGAAGAATGCAAATATTTTGACTTCTCTCCAGTGACTCTTGTTCCAGTGGAAAAGGCATGTAGGCAGCAGCTGCTGCGCCTCCCCACTCAGAGTCTCCCCTTCTTAGGCAATCTGCTATGTGATCCTGGGTAGCAGCAGCAGCAGCAGCAGATTCTGCCTCGGAAGGGTGAGACACCACTCTTCAATGAGGCTGGATTGTGTCATTAGAATGCTACACATATGCCACATGGAAATCATGACATAAGAAAATAGTAGGGTTGGTAGAGGCCAGGTATTGTGGCTCACACCTATAATCCCAGCACTTTGGGAAGCCAAGGTGCGCAGGTCACCTGAGGTCAGGAGTTTGAGACCAGCCTGGCCAATATAGCAAAACCCCATCTCTACTAAAAATACAAAAATTAGTCGGGCTTGGAGGTGCATGCCCAGCTACTCAGGAGGCTAAGGCATGAGAGTCATCACTTGAACATGGAGGCGGAGGTTGCAGCGAGCCAAGATCATGCAATTATACTCCAGCCTGGGTGACACAGTGACTCTCTCAAAAAAAAAAAGAAAAGAAAAGAAAATAGTGAAAATAGTTGGGTTGGAAGATACATTAGTGTCACCGATACCTCATTCCTGTTACATGTACCTCACTCCTGTTTCGGTAAGTGAGGAATTAGAAGCCCTGAGATGTTAAGTCAACATCACTTTGACTTGGAATAGCTATAGAATGATTAGAATTCCCGATTCCTGGTTTCTCATACATCAGACTTTCCATTATACTGAGCAGCCTTTCCTTCATAGATTCTGTTATATGCATGTACTAGATGGTTCTTAAATGTTTGAAGGCTCCAGAGTTTCTGTTTTAGGTTTCTTCTTGGCCTGCATAGTTCCCTGGGGGC